TTTATTTAGAGATATAAAATTATACCAATAATACACTAGGTGTATCACCTTATCATTTTGGGTGTTAGGAAGAAATCCTTGTCTATGTGCTGGAAAGTTAATACTTAGACATTTATTTGAGTTTAAGAGCCTCTTATGAAACTCTTTTTTATCTTTTAGCAGTAGGGAAATTTTAATATTGTAGCATAGGCAATTGCTATTTATTTGATGATTTATTTTTCATTTCCTATTCTGTTTGGAGATTTAAGAGTGTAATATTCATTTTTCAAGTGTGCTTCATAAGCAGATGACTATATATTTGGGTAATTCCTTTTTTTAATGTGCCCAATTTAGATATATTTTCTTGGGTATTAATCTTGTAAATATCATCCTGAGATTAAGAGTTTCCTATATGTTAGTACTGCTGCAATTCCCTTTTCCTCCTTGTCTTTACTTTGTTTTCTCTCTGTGTTATCATTTTTTCATTGAATGGCCCTTGTGCTCAATGGGCATTTTTTTGTTTTTTCAGAGTAAAGACTTCTGAATCCATGGGCATTTTTAAAAAAGTATTTTTATTCCCTCTTACCCTAGTACCCTGTTAGCATCCAGAGTGTTGCTGAAATTTCTTTCTCTTTTGTTTTATTGATTCTATCCCTTTTTGGTACCAGCCACAATTTCTACTTGGGTATCCTGGTGGGCTATGTGACCTTCTCCTTTTCACGCTGGTAGAAGATAAGAGTCTCCTTGTAGTGAGGGAGATGGTGACCAGAATCTTATTTTCCAGCTTATGTTTGCTTAATCACTTTCCTATAATAGCTGATATCCTTCTTTTGGGTCATTATTTTATGTACTAAAAATACTCAAAATCCTTGTGATCAGGGCATATAGTTAGAGTCATGTCAAAGGCAGAAAATTATTTGTTGAATATGGTATCAGTACAAGGGTATTTAGATGAATTGAATATCTATAGGTGTAAGAATGATCTTGTCAAAAAGAACAGAAAAATTGAAGTTCAATTACTGGTCTCCTTTCCTAAAGAATTGTACCTAGGCTTCCCATTGGCATATCTGAAACCTGTTCAATTTTGTGTTGTGTTAAAAACAAGGGTTTTAGAACCAGACTGACCTAGCTTTGAGTTCCATGTCCATCTCTAGCTAGTTGTGTGACCCTGTATAAACTATTTATGTGTGTTTTACTTTCTTTATAATATGGAAAAAGTGACATTTATAGGATAGTTGTAAGGAGTAAATCACAATATTATATATGTAAAGCACTTTAAGTGCTTGTACTTATGAAAACTAAGTAAATCACAACTGTATCCATTAAATTTATGATTCACTGTAGGTAGCAGTTAATAATAAAATTATAACAGCTTAAGTTAGTTTACTTTTCTCTCATTAAAAAAAATTTTAAACAGTCCAGAGTTAATCTGGTCCCTCTCTGATTTTCAGGGACGCAGGTTCCTTCTGAATGTCAATCTGTCATCTTTACTCTTCTGTCTTATACTACAAGATAGCTTCTAAAATTCTGGCTATCATGTTTGCATTTGGGGCACAAAGACAGAGGGGTAACGAAGAAGAAGTAGACAAATGGCATGTGCCAACTATCTTTTAAAGAGATACTGAAAAGCTGACATTGTTGCCTTTTTAATCTCATTTGCCAAGCTCTTGGTCATATGACTGCAGAGAAGACAAATATGTCCATATATAAAGTTTGATAAAACTTGCTTCCTCAGCCTCCTTGGCAGCAGGAGAGTTTAGGAAATGTGATCTTTATTGTGGATAGCCATGTGTCCAGGAAAACATCAGGGTTTTCTACTAATAAGGAAGGCAGGGGAGATTGATTATTGGGTAGGCCATCAGCAGTTTCTTCCATAGTAGTACTTATTATTATTGACAATATTTATTTTGTTGATAACTATAGATAATAACAAGTCTTAATGGCCTAAGTGCTATTACTTTCAGATGATTTTCCATAACTATGTTCTGTTTCATTATGCTTCAATTTAACAATTTCGGGCAATACATATGTTTATTTCCAAGTTTTACTGGTCACCTCAATATAGCTACCAATTAGTTAGTGTATTACTTAGTGTGCTTAGTTTTCAGAAATATGTTTATAGAATCAGATCCAAGCCAGTCATCTCATATATCTAAATCAGCTGGGGTGAATTTGTCGTAACCAACAGAAAACCTGAGAGATGTAACCAATTTGGAATTGTTGTTCTGTTCTTGCTTAAGAAGTCCAAATGTAGGCAGTTCTGGGCTGGTACAGCAGCTCAATGATAACTTCAAGGACTAAGGTCCTTTGATATTCCTGTTCTGCCTCTGTAGCCTGCTACTTTAATTCTTGGGCTTATCTCCTCATGATATAAAGAGGCCTCCAGGCATTATGTTTGCATTCTAGGCAGGAATAAAGCGAAAAGGCCAAGGGTAAAGGGTGTTTCTCCTTTTATTGGTAAAGTAATACCCTCTTCATAGTCTACTGCCAAATATTCTTGACCAGAACTATATTACATGGCTACCCTTACCTGCAAGGAAGGGTAGAAAGTGAGTTTTCTGTGTGGAAGGGAATACTTAAAATATATAAACCACTAGCAGTGTCTGTCAAATTATTTGTTAAACATTCTTATGTATGTTGATTTATTAAAAGAAAAAGTTGTCTGGAGATTTATTAAATTCTCTTTGTTACAAACATACAGAACTTCAATTAGGTTTGGGTTTCATTTTTATCGTCTTTAATATTTCAGAGGAATGCTTTGCAAGCAATTTCTCCAGCCACCATGGAAGTTCTTATGCGAGTTTTAGCAGATTGTGATTCTTGGGAGGACGGAGATCCTGAAGAAGTGGGTAGGAAGGTAGAACTAACTCTCAAGTGCCTTACCGAAGTGGTACATATCCTTCTCAGTAGCAGCTCTGACCAGCGTCAAGTGGAAACCAGTACTATTCTGGAGAACTATTTTAAATTGCTAAATTCAGATCATTCACCTTTACCTAATCAAAGAAGGTCCAGACAGTGGGAAAGCCGATTCATAGCTCTACAGATCAAAATGCTGAGTAAGTATTACATAAAGACAGTTTTCTCTGAGTCTAATTTTTGCTTTCGTATTTCTCACTTTCTTTTGAAATACAAGGCCATCATGTGGAAAGTATTGATTGTTTAATTCAGATATTGTGTGACTGTCTAGATTTTGACTTCCAAATAATTAACACAGAATCATTTTGTTTGTCTAACATCTTTGTTTTAATGATGACAGTCAAGTCTCTATATTCTTTTCTGAAAGGGTAGTCCACTAAAAGCATCAATATTAAAAAGAAAATCAGCTATGACTTTGAAATTGTAGGAAAAGTAAATTTTCAGAAAGTGCTATTTGTAGTAACCTGTGGCAAAAAGTCACATACAATCAATTTTGTATATGTCTCTATAATATCTCTGTAGAGATCACTTCAATATCTGCCCTTCCTCTAGAGGGCACCTTTTTGTTTTTGTTCTTCGTCAGATCCTCTGTATGTGTGTGTCTGTTTCTTTTTCTCTCTCTGTTTTGGTTGCTTTGTGTGAACTCTGTGCTTACATCTCTCACTCTGCTTTGTAAGCTCCCTCACCAACATACATGATTTCTTATTGTATTCCCATGTTATCATTAAATGCAAATATTATTAACTCATAGTTATTTAATATAGAAATAAAAGATTTCCATTACAGCTAACTAGGAAATTCAGATAAGTAAAAAGAAAATAATAGTTCTTTATATCTACCACCCAGACATATACAACATTGATGTTTTGGTGTATGGCTTCTAAAAACATAAAAATGCTTTTATATGTTTATGTGTGTGTGTGGTATCAATTTAAACATATTAAACATCAAAATCTTGTTGAAAATGATCCATTATAACATTTGTTTCTTTAGGAAAATAAGATTTGTTTTATGTAGTTTTTATTCTTTTATAAAACATGGCATGTTTTATGATTATTATAAATTTTAAGTTTGTAAGTAAGTTTAAGTCTATATTGAATGGACAGATGTCTATTTGATTTCTGGATGGGGATATCCCTTCAGTAGGAAACAAGAGCAAAACATTGTCATAAATGGATTAATTGAAGTCTCATTTTCATAATGGCCATATGTTAATTTTATAGTATATAAATGAGACTATGTTGCCAAACATAACCAGTTGTTGTTTATTAATAGCAAATTGAGTACTTAGACTTGAGACTTACGATGAAGAACAACTAAATAAGTCTCTGGAAAACAGATACCGCTCATATAAAATTTAAATATTTTAAATAATAAAGCATAAAAATTTTCACTTTTCTTATCAAGTGATAATTACAGAATTTGTTTTCTATTCCTCATCCCTATTATTTCTGAATACATTTACATGCTTTGTTAGCTAAAAAGCCTAAATTAAAAATATGATTAAATATTCATATGATCCCAAACTTTCATTTTGCATGGATGATTTGTTTTCATTTTCCTAGATACCATCACAGCCATGTTAGATTGCACAGACAGGCCTGTTCTTCAGGCCATTTTTCTGAACAGTAATTGCTTTGAACATCTCTTACGACTGCTACAGAACTGCAAGGTATTTCTCTATTATCATTATTGTCTTCGATTTTAATAAGCTATTGTTTGTGTTTTAATTCACATTTGAGCATATTAGTACTGAATTTTTATAATAAATTTGTGTTTGCATTTAATTATGTAACCAAGTTTTATCTCGAATTGAAACTATTATTATATCATTTCAATTGTTTAAATACTTTAAAGGTGGCCGGGTGCGGTGGCTGATGTCTGTAATCCCAGCACTCTGGGAAGCCTAGGTGGGAGGATCGTTAGAGCTCAGAAGTTCAAGACCATCCTGAGCAAGAGTGAGACCC